GCCCACACAGGGCATTCTCCCACTGTGTGTTCCACCGTGTCCTCAGGGCGGCCCACGCAGTGATGACACCCGGGCGTTTCCTCCCGCCCCATCAGATACAGGCACCTCCCGAAACTTCCATGTCCGATGAGGACCTGCGTCAGGCGGTAAGTGAGGATGCCGTAGCGTTTCTCAAGCCACTCCTCAAAGAGAGGACTTACCGCTACAATGGCAGCGAGCCCAGCCCTCGGTTGCGACAGTCTTTGCTGCCATTCCGCCATGAGATTGCGCCGGAGCTCATCTCGCAACGCACCTATCTGGCGCGGCAGCGAAGTTTCGCCCCGGCGACGGGCCTCCGCGCGCATGCGATACACGCGCGCGAGTACCTTCGCCTCTAGATCCCACGGCGGTAATCCGGCAAGGAGGTTCGCTGACTCTCCAGAGATCGTGCGGTATCCGCGGATCATTCGGATCGCCATGACCCTTTGTGCCATGAGCAGCGCCCGAGCGGGCCGCCGCATCAGGTTCGGCCGGCGCCCACACAGGGGCGCCGTAGAGGGCCATGGACTGCACGACCCCGGCGTATAACCTCCGGCAGGAGGCGTTTGGCCCCCCGAGGTTGGGGAGGATGCATTTGAACGCAGCCCCCGTCCTCAAAACAAGTAGAATAGACTATAGGTATTTTGAAATCTGGCCTTTACGGTCACCTTAAAACGTCGTACGAACGACCTTTTTGTAACATAATTATGTATTTGAACGTAACATACTAAAATCAGTCCAGTATACAAGTAATTGTAGCTGTAGTGTGTTGCTTTTTCAAATCACTGTATTTACAATAATTAACTCGTCGAGTACCGGTTTTATAGACACAATTAAAGAACAATAGGTCGCGGTCACCGGTGACCGCTCGGTGTTTGACAGATTAAGTAGTTTTTTGTTGTTTTTTTTATTTTTTATTTTTTTCTATTTGTATTTACTGTTACATTTATTTTTCGTTTTGGTGCAGAAATAGCAGTTGCTACAAATTTCGACTACCAAGTTGCGATCTCCGCTTAGTAATGAATACTCTCTAACATTATTACGCAATCAACTTATGAATGCACGTAGAAATAAATAACAAATTTGTATGGTTTTTGAGGGTGGAATTCGGTGAAAATGATGGCGCTGTCAGAATCTAAATCAAAGATGGCGGCTGCATGAAATTTTCAATTTATCGTCATGGGTGTCGTTTTCACGTAACTACATTGTGTTTGGATTTGTATAATTTGTATTGAATAGAACTTTACACCTATGTGGATTATAAGTGGTAAAACTAAAAATGATAAAAAAAAACTGCGTTTAAAAAACTGACTTCTCAAAAAAACTAAAAACAAATAAAAAGTAAAAACTGAAAAGCAAAAAAATAACCATATTAGTACTGATGAGTTACTCACCCACTGACCGACTTTTAGTCGGTGCCATAAGCTCATATTTTGACAACCCTGGCCGATGCGTCTAGACTCTAGACGATGTAGGCATTTTACACGAGACCAAAGGTCATGAATACGAACGGAACGAATAGGGACCGGGTTTCTGCTTACCCAGTATGCGTACTGGCTCAAACTAAGTTTTGTACCTGTACCAGTAAATACGTATCATCCCTAAAGTAGAAGTATTTACTTCTGAGTTTGAATAGTGCCAATCGTTACAGAGAGTGCAACGAATTCGTTAAGTCGTGACCACGAACAGACGATTTGCTATCATACGAGACTGTTCGACGCACCGATCTTTAAAATTTTGTCGGTTTGTATATTACAAACCTAAATTAAATTTTAAAGATCGGCTTTGAAATTTTCCTTAAAAATGCCTCAAAGAAAAAAACAAAAACCTTTTTGTATAATGCTCCGGGTAATTCAACCGCTAATCTATTGTATAGGAAAGCAGTAACGTAATCAACTGGATACCAATATTACCAAATAAAAATATACTATAGTCAGGATATTTATTGGCAAAAAAATACTATACCATCTTCTTGAGTGGAGTTCATATGTATATAGCCCACTGTTATCTAAACGATGTTGTTTTGTTTTCGATAACCACGCGAACGAAGTCGCGGGCACAGCTAGTAGGTACTAAAATTCAAATTCTGAGTGTTGTTGATGATACAATGTAAATCACAATATAAAAATATAACCAACTTTGTGTTGGTTGTTTATACCATTACATTGTGTCATGGTTAAGTCCTGTTTTATGTTAAACTAGCTTCTACCGGGCCTAATTGGGCCTCCGGTAACCTCACTAACACGAAGAAACACAACGCAAGCGTTGTTTCACGTCGGTTTTCTGTGAGGTCGTGGTATCACTCCGGTCGAGCCGGCGGCCGATTCGTGCCGAAGCATGGCTCTCCCACACTTAGCGTTAGCGTTTTTTCGTGGGTATACTTTTTCAGGATAATAAGTACCAGTGTGATGCCTAGGATAGTAAAATATAATAATACCAAGTTTCATCGTAATCGGACCGCTCGCGTCTACCCAAAATTATACATATAATTTTTTTTATAAAAAAAACATGTGACCAACCGTGATATTTGGGATAAATGGTTTATGGTAGCTAATGACCTCCCAAATCCCTGAAAAAATTGTGTCGGTCCATGCGCCAAACATACTATCACTTTTTTGGCACAGGGCAGTAGTGGCTGGATAACAAGCTGCACTATGTATCATTTTCAAACTAAATAACTCTTTGAGTGATTCGTAGGTAGATGGATTATTCCAGATTTAGGTATGTTGACTGTGTGACACCAGAAAAACCCCACGTTTTTTGAATATAGAAGAAGCCAAAAACAAATGTGTAAACATGTAAAACACAAGTATTTTTTTTTATATTGTAACTTTCGTGAGACATACTAAATAAATTATTGTTGTCGGCTCAAAACTAGTCGAGTTCCTCGTCAAATTATTACGTGAGTAAGCCGAAAACATAATAATTTAATATTTTTTACTTTATTTGACTGCACAGTTTGTGCGGTGGCTGAGCAACCAGATGCCGCATGCCGTGCAACGTGTAGCGGGTTTGATTCCCGCACGGAAGAACTCTTTGTATAATCCAGAAATTGTTGGTTTGGGTCTAAGCGTTATGTGTATGAGAACTTATATATTTGTAAATGCTCCCTAGACACAGGAGTAAATCGTAGTGTGGGGCTCGTTAAAAAATATTTTTTGTGAAATTATTCAAAAACTTCAATTATAGTCATTTGTCTGGCCCTAAACACTATAATTACCTTGCCTCATTACAGTTCTGATTGTTGAAAGCTCCTCAATACAAATGTATATAATTATAATTATTCAAAGAGTTTAAAGTCTGAATGTCGAAGTTCAATAGTAAAATTTACTTAAATACATAAAATTCTCGTCAATTGTCTAAATGAAAAGCGTTAGCCTTTAAGCTAATTACGGCTATTCTTTTGATACAAAGACAGGCTGGTATTATGTTCGTAATTAACTTTCAGACGTAGAAATTGATATAAGGCTCTTTTATTTATAGTATTTTAACTATGTAAACTAGCCTGTAGTCGCAGCGTCACCCGTGTAGTTAAAGGAATAAATTAATATTTATCGCTCTCCATCCAATGGGTTTAGTACAAGTTTCTTTTCCGTTAGTAATCTACTGAATGGTGCCCTGATTGGTAAATTTTTTGAGTCAGCCAATCAGAGCATCGGACGATTATTCGGTACGATTATTTTGAACGTAAAAGAAACTCGTACTAACGCCTCCGACACCAAAGGTTTTAAATTAAATTTTTACTCATTCTGGTTTTCCTCATAATCTTTACCAATAACTTGCAGTACCGCTTACGACCCGAATGCTAACGAAACGAATTAAGATTAATCTTGCATAAATTGTCCAATATTTGAATACTTATTACCTTTTCAAATTTAGGCTCTTACTGTGTGAAGTATGTACCCAAATATCGTGTTTTTCCTTTTGAAGTAACCGAGCTTAATTTTGTTCAAGGATAAATAGAAACCAATACAGAACTGGAATCAACTTTAAGTCTCTGTTGAAGAGTACATTTTAGCCTGCTTTTGAATATATTTCAAGACAAGCAAAATTCATATGAGAAAACTGTGGTTACGCTTAGTAAACGTGTAGATTTTAAGTTAGGTACATGAAAATTCATTGAAACCAAACGCTCTTATAACTAAAATCGATTGCACTTATGCGGTTTCCGAAAACGAAATTAGATTTGAAAACATCCAAGCGTAATATTGTGCCTTTACAACGACTTCTCAATTGTTCAAAAACTTGAAGAGAATGTAACGTTTTGTAGATCATTCTGGAATGACTTTTAATGTTGTTTCCAATGTGACTACAGAAGTTATTATATTAACATACATACATAACATCACGCCTTTTTACCCCCGAAGGGGTAGGCAGAGATGCACATTTCGGCACTTAATGTCACTGTACAATGTAAATAAAATATACCGGGCACATTTCCAGATACCGTGCTACTACTGAGATTTTTGAAAAACCCAGTAATACTTTGCCCGACCCGGGAATCGAACCCGAGACCCCTTGCCCAGCAGTCACACTTGCGACCACTCGGCCAAAGAGGCCGTCAGAAACTATTACAGTAATTGAAATTGTAAATGTACATTGTACAGTTTACTTTTAGATAGGGGTATACTAAAGGGTATTCTAGATACAGAACTGTTGCACGGTCTGACATAACTGACCAATAAAACTTGATATTTACAAAACCACAATCGTTAACAGTGATGACTTCTCTGTCAAACAAGTCACACACACGTCAAACATTTGTAACGAAGTCTATAATTATTTTCTTTTTGCATTATCATCTAGCTTCATCATAAGAACAAAGTAGAAGTAGGTTTTTTAAAAAGTTTCATTTGAATTTAACTTTTTTAATGTCGGTACAAATTACTTTTAACAGCCAGCAAGATGATATTTTTTAACACCATCATGAAATGATCACATGGACTTTATAGCTAATGATAAAATATTCAAGATAAACTTACCATTGCCCCTCATAGGCTGAAGATCTGAGACGATCAGGATTGGAGAATTTAGAACGATGGACAGGATCCAGACCATGGCAATCATTTTGTAGGCGTGGCACTGTGTCTGCCATTTTCTGGACTTTAGAGGTCGACAGATCGCGAAGTACCTCTCCAGAGATATCGCAACTAACGTCCACACGTCCACTGACACGGACACCGCTGAAAAAGACGATTTATGTTAGATCACTTAAGGATTAAATTGCATTGAAACTTAAGTGCTGACATTTTTAAAAGTTGCACCAAAACTGCCATTCAACTATAACCTTTCATTCGTTCATCAAAAGAGTCATTTTTATTATTCTTTACGCGAATCTACATTTTGTAGACATCGTTAATTTCGACCGTAATGGTATATTAAATAGAAATATTTAGTTCTATAGAAATAATTATCGCTGCTAATTGATAATCTGCGTAAGTTTTCAATAAAACAGAATCTCCTTTGAAATGTTGGCAACCATAACTTTATGATGAATGTACCTATTGATTAATATGCTTTGGCAATGAATACCCATTTGATGAATTTACTGAGTTATGACTGAAGATTACAAGGCTTCTGTATTGATTTCAGTGAAACAAAAATGTGGACAAAAGTTATACCAGATCATGAAGTCTGTAATTTCACATACATTTTGCTCATAAGTAATTGTTGTGCGCTTCGCGATATTTCAAGTCTTACACTAGTTACTACTGTGTTGAACTATGCACAATTAATAGGTAGGTATTAAAAACGCGACGATTTTTTTCTAAAAGAACAAGGTCTCAAGTTTTTACTGATTGATCCTTAACGTAATAGAGTACCACATTATCTTTATTTGTATGTAAAACAAAGGATTAAAAGCCATTAGATTCAATTAAAACCTTCATACGAATTGCGGTTAAACTGGCCTGTAAAGTGTGGGTATCTATACATATAATAAATCTGTAGAAAAGTAATTTTTGTACATTTAACAAATTGACAAAAAAAATAGCCAGCGTGTTAAAAGATAACCAACAGAACCCATTTCCATCATTTTTGAAATTTTTGTCTGTTTGTCTGTTTGTCTGTTTGTTTGTGCGCGCATCACGTAAAATCTACGAATTTAATGCAGACACTGCTTATGAAGAAAAATTCTACGCAACTTGAGGTATAACTTAGTTTTTGTTTCATCGAAATCGGTTCACTCTATCAGAAGATATGATTAATTTAGTGAGTTCAAGTAAAATATTACAACACGCAATTCAGTATAGTACTCGAAATGACATCTTTGGAAAATTGGTTTCGTTTGGTCATTGGTTTGAAGTCAGAAGTAAAGATACTACTTGATATTATAAACAAATAGAATTTTTTTTTTTAAGTTGGGAAATTCATCGAAGACTGCTCCCGCCTGGGTGAGGCAGGAGGGAGTGTCAGACTCTTACTGACTAAAAACCACCCCGTTCCTTCTCCTGCACATCGAGCCGCGCCCCGGTTACCCGTTATGTTCTCCACGACTTCGAATCGGCATCGGCCCTGTTGGGCCCCATCTGTGGTGGTCTGATGGCTCTTTGAGGCGCGCGCGGAACGCGACGCGCCGTACGCTCGGGTCTGCTTCTGGTCGGACGGGGAGTCACCCATGCTCGCCGTCCGCAGGCTCGCGCTGACAGTGGCCGGAGATCCTCCCGCGATCCCCGGTCACTTCCCTGAGGGCACGGCGGTGTTCAGCCCACGCAGGGCATTCCCCCACTGTGTGTTCCACCGTGTCCTCAGGGCGGCCCTCGCAGTAATGACACCCAGGCGATTCCTCCCGCCCCATCAGACACAGGTACCTCCATGAAACTTCCATGTCCGGTGAAGACCTGCGTCAGACGGTAGGTGAGGACGCCGTAGCGTCTCTCAAGCCACTCCTCAAAGAGGGGACTTACCGCTGCAATGGCAGCGAGCCCAGCCCTCGGTTGCGAAAGTCGTTGCTGACATTCCGCCATGAGATCGCGCCGGAGCTTATCCCGCCACGCACCTATCTGGCGCGGCAGCGGAGTTTCGCCCCGGCGACGTGCCTCCGCGCGCATGCGATACACGCGCGCGAGCACCTTCGCCTCCAGATCCCACGGTGGTAATCCGGCATGGAGGTTCGCCAACTCCCCGGAGATCGTAGAAATAGCAGTTGCTACAAATTTCGACTACTAAGTTGCGATCTCCGTTCAGTAATATCACTTTTATCTTTATTAACGTAAATAACTTTTTTTACGGAAAAAAGCTTTAATATTTCAAAATTATATTCAAAAACTCTTTAACATTATTACGCAATAAACTTCTGAATGCACGTAGAAATAAAGAACAAATTTGTATCACCGAGTGTATTCGGTAAGTGTCGTCGTGATCGTTCGGGTAAATTCGTAATTCTCCGCGTGAGTGGCAAGCGCGAGGCGAGCTGCATTATGATTATGAACGACCACACTGGGTATTAGTGAGTATGACGTCAGACCCGGTCAATAGGGCCGTACTGTCGGTTCTGTCACAGTCTATACAGTCGTCCAACGAAGACGTCTAGACAGGCCAATCGTGCGGGGTGTGAAGGGCGAGACGCGGGTAGGCCGATCCCGAGCTGCGAACAAAACGATGTTAGTAGCTCGGGATATATTATTCAGGGCTAACGCGTGTTTGTGTTTACCGACTTCAAAAAAGGAGGAGGCTGCCGTTGCATGAAATTTTTAATTTATCGTCATGGGTATCGTATTCATGGTTTTTTGAGGGTGGTAAAACCGATGGTGCTGCCAAAATGTGAATCCAAGATGGCGGCTGCACGAAATTTTTAATTTATCGTCATAGGCTTCGTTTTCATAGTTTTCGAGGGTGGTGAAAATGATAGTGTTGTCATAATGCCAATTCAAGATGGCGGCTGCCCGAAATTTTTAATTTATCATCATGGGTATCGTTTTCATGGTTTTTGAGGGTGGAATTCGGTGAAAATGATGGCGCTGTCAGAATTTAAATCCAAGGTGACGGCTGCATGAAATTTTTAATTTATCGTCATGGGTGTCGTTTTCACGTAACTACATTGTGTTTGGGTTTGTATAATTTGTATTGAATAGAACTTTGCACCTATGTGGATAATAAGTGGCAAAACAAAAAATGATGAAATAAAAAAAAACTGCGTTTAAAAAACCGACTTCTCAAAAAAACTAAAAACAAATTTAAAGTAAAAACTAAAAAGCAAAAAAGTAACCATTATTAGTACTGATGGGTTACTCACCCACTGACTGACTGCCTACTGACTTTTAGTCGGTGCCATGAGCCCATATTTTTGACGATGCGTTACTGTCTAGACTCTAGACGATGTCGGCATTTTACACAAAATCAAAGGTCATGAATACGAACTGAACGAATAGGGACCGGGTTTCTGCTTACATACCCAGTATGCGTACTGGTAAGCTCAAACCAGGTATTTATACCTGTACCAGTAAATACGTATCATCCCTAAAGTAGAAGTATTTACTTCTGAGTTTGAATAGTGCCAATCGTTACAGTGAGTGCAACGAATTCGTTAAGTCGTGACCACGAACTGACGATTTGCTATCATACGAGACTGTTCGACGTACCGATCTTTAAAATTTTGTCGATTTTGTATATTGCTTTGATATTTTCCTTAAAAATGCGTCATAGAAAAAAAACAAAACGGTTTTTGTATAATGCTCCGGGTAATTCAACCGCTAATCTATTATATAGGGAAGCATTAACGTAATCAACTAGATACCAATATTACCAAATAAAAATGTAGGTACATGTCAGGATCTATATTGGCAAAAAATACTCAAGATTCATATGTATATAGCCTACTGTTATCTAAACGATGTCGTTTTGTTTTCGACAACCACGCGAACGAAGTCGCGGGCACAGCTAGTCTCATATAATATCCCCTTTATATTATTTTGTTAGATCTATATTTAACATTAAGCAAATGTGTGCCGTCAGATTTTATTGCATAAGTATTTTAATATTTCTATTCACGATTATTATGTTTTCGACTTACTCACTTAACTGTTTGACAAGGAACCCAACTAGCAGCATTTCGCGACACGCGATGCGGCGACTGTCGCGCTGTGCTACTCAAGTCGGCTGCGGTGCAGGACCAGCGCACCCTCTGCCATGAGTCATTCATCAGCTCATGAATATGAGCTTCTAGCATGGCTTGAAACTAGTTGAGTTCCTCGTCAAAAAGTTACGAGAGTAAGTCGAACGAAATGCCCTTCAATACTGAGTTTATAATCTCTAATTACAAGTTTGAAATCGCCAAGCCGCATTGAGCAAACGTGGTGATTTATGTTTAAACCTTCTCCTCATGAGAAGAGGCTTTACTCAGTGGGCATTTATGGGCTGTTGATGATGATGCATTTCAGTTGTAATTTTAGACACTTTTAAAGGAACTAATATAATATTTTTCAGTCTCACAGGATAATCAAAGTAACATTAAGAATTATTTAATCAAGTACTCACCTTGTAGAAATGGGATCAGTTTGCACATGAGTGCTCCAAACAAGAACCGTCTGTATATCTGACCGACTAGTGTGAAAGGTAGACAGAATACACCCAGCAAGAAGTCTGATATAGCCTGAAACAAATAAATAAATGTTATTAGTCATTAAATATACTTACACATTTTTAAATCAATACAAATTATAATCAAAGATTATTTATTTGCCCGAACAAGGTATACAGTGGTCACATATTATAATTATAGTCCCTCTTATTCTACCCACAATTCGGGCATGCAAAACTTTTATTTGGAAATTAGAATAATTAACCTGTTGAAATTCATCCCCTAAATTTGTTCATACAAAAGTAGTCTCTAAACATTGGAAATAAGGTCTATAATGTAGTTTGTGAAGAGCGGTCACCGGTGACCGCTTGGGGATGTATCAACTCACAAGGTATGTCATAATAAGTAAAAAAAAATGTCATTAATTAGCCTACATGCATGGCTACATGTCAAAATTGTTTTATACAGAATTGTTTTATAAAAAAGAGGTACATTATTTGTCAAATATTAAAATAACAATAATATTCATATCAGCTGTCAATCCACAAAATAACAATAATCAAAAACAGTACATTAGACCCTCACATTAAGTTATACTTGATAGGTCGACGTTTGGCCACCATCTCGCCTGGTGGCAAGCGATGATGTTGACGATGGAGTATGTCTACCTATGTGTTACGCCGAGAAGCTTGAGATAGTCACTTATCGGAACGGACTCATTTTCGGAAAGTAAGTTAACCCATTTGGATCCGCCGTCCCCATATGGGGACAGGTTTTCTTTTACCCGCTGGTTATTAATTATTTTAGCTATCTTTACATTTCATGGGTATTTATAATGAGGAGTAGTGTACTTTCCTAAAATTATTAGAACTTTTGACAAATTGCTACAAAAAATGGGTCATATTGTCAATTTTATCAAGAGGAAGTGAAATGGGAAACATTATCGAATGCAGAGGCGTTTTGTAGTACGTTATTATGAAGATTTATAAAACTTTTTTGTGATTATTGCTTCCTTATAGTGTCAATTAAAACAATATTGAAGAATATCCTTATACTTTCAATTCCGCTTAGGGGAAAGTTAGAAAAAATGATAGTGTCCCCGTATGGGGACAATGGGCACATCTGTAGTATATTTTTAAAACATTTATACCTGATTTGTATTTTGTTTTCCAATTTATAAAGGTCACTTATAGGCTAAACTTAGTTATAGCTAATCCTTGGTGACAACAGACGCTAATTCATGAAGAGCATCACCAATTCCGCCATATCTTTACGCATTCATATTCTAAAATCTGATGGGCATCAAGACCGAAGATGCAAAAGTCCACCTACAGTACCAGGCGTCGCATCCGATATCAGAATTCAGCAGTAGGGGGCATTTCCTCCAGCTGTATTCTGGTGTCGTCACAGCGAAGTCCACCCAGAGGATAGAGTAGCATTATGCCCTGTATACGTTGACCACCGCCGTGTCTTCAGGGAAGTGATCGACGACAATAATCTTCCACGTCCAGCTTAGGTTCTGGCTGTGGGGCGGAGCGAGGGGAACTGGAAAACATCTCTTTCTGCGAAGCAGTCATAGTAGCAAGAACAGATCGCCGCCCAGAACCAGACCTGTACCTGTAAGGTGCGTGGCGTTACGCGCGCGCTTCAAAGTGCAGATCAGACCGCCTTAGATCGAGATGGCTCAGTGGGACAGATGCCCTACTACTATGAATAACCTAGTGGGTCACCGGGGCTTCGGCTTGAAGCAGAATTAGGAACGTGTTGGTTTTTAGCCAGTAAGAGTCCCCCAGGTGGAAAACGCAATGCATGATTTTTACCCTCAAAAAAATATAGGCGCGTCACATCAAATTGATTTAGACATTTTCCGCAGAGATTTAGTTAATATCTGTTACGATACGCAGTTCGTCATAAAAAAACTGTGATATCAATGCAAATAATGCGTTATAACCTTATGTGTCGAAAACAGTTACTACTTCGAAAAGTACTACACATGAGCCCGTTGTCCCCAATCAAGGACGGCATTTTTTTTAATACTTCTAAAAATATTTTTTGAATTTTTTTTGCTTATATTATTTTGTGGGCGTCATATCATTGAGTTAATAAAGTTTTTTTTATTAAATTATGTGTAGTTTGCATTTGGTCCCAAATGGGTTAAGTGTAACTCTGTACCTCCGGGCCCTCCTCCTGCATTGAAGCTACTCTGAGATTTGGTGACAAACGATGAAGTTCCTAGCTCGCATCCGACTTTAAACGAAGCCAGGTGTAATCGGTCGAGTGTTCTTCCTTCACGGAGCAGTCGGTTATATTATATCCAACAGAGAAGCAGTTGCATGTCTTTTGGTCAACCGTCAGCTCAGTCGGCTCCATGCTATCAGTGGTAGGTAAAGCGGGGCTGGCGGCAAACGGATGCCAACTCGACTTGTCATTAAAACGCCAGCTATGTGGTAAATCCAACAGGATATTCGCTTTCATAATAAAATTCCTACCTAACAGCGTCCTCGTTTGTGCATTCGTTAGCACCATAAACGTAGTTGGTATCACGCGTTTTCCTAATGTGGCGTCGACGTCACACTCAAGCTTTGTACGTTTCTGCTGAGACCCGTCAGCAAGACCTACGGGTACGTACGACCGTCCTAAATATCACGCCAGCATTCACGAGCAAAACGTGGAGCATATTGCTCGCGATAGAAGGTGTGGCCATAGTATAAAGAACAAAGTAGGTTATCTTCATACAAATGCTCCGCGCGCGGCTTATATGTGTGCGCCATAGTATCTATGCGTCGACGCACGCACACTTCGCAAAATCTCGACCCGTTTCTCAGTGCGCCAGGCAGGGCTGACACTGTACGAGGTTTGCGCGCGCTTCACAGCTTTTCGGCACTGTTCAATGAAATAAAAAATGTCTGATAATCGTAGAAGAACGTATTGCTGTGTGTTTGGGTGTCTTAATAATTAATCGATTCCAGAACTGTCTCTGTTCAGATTAGGTACCTATTGAACAGGAAAGGTAAGCTAGTCACTTTTTCTAGCATAAAATAATTTGTAGGTACTTGATGATGAGATACCTACTTACTTATTCTTACTCTTATCATTCTTCATAGTTCCTACTCAACCAGAAATGTAATTACCTACTATACTTAAATATTATAAGAAAATGTGGTATTATATTGTTTATTTCACAGTTTATCTGATTTGTTAAGAGCGTAGCCGAGTCGCATTTTTCCATATAAATGTATTCCCAAATTTACTTTCTGAATACTATGTATAGAGCTAAAGTTTATTTTAAGAAGTTAATAATCTTTTTATAAGCTTTTAATTTTTACTAAATTTATGTATTGATAAAATATTCAATCATAATATGCTTTTCATTTCATAAATTTAGATCAAGTGCTGCTTGTTCGAAAATATTAACTAAAAGTAAAAGTGACAACCCTGGGGATCAACGCAAGAGTAGGCTAATAACTCGGCGGGCGGCCTTAGATAACCTACTGTGTTCTTTATACTTTATACTATGGTGTGGCCCCCGTATCCAGTATGGCCACACCCTTACGGTCAACAACCTCAATACCTATCAGCTGTTACGAATCATTATCATAGTAAAAAGAAATTTATAGGTACTATGTCATTATCACTAATGCCTGCAATATAAGCACTGTGTCGCGGAGAACCTAACGGGTAACCGGGGCTCCGGCTCGACGTGCAGGAGAAGGAACGGGGTGGTTTTTAGTCAGCAAGAATCTGACAACCCCTCCCGTCTCACCTAGTGGGGAGAAGTCATTCGGTGATTTTTCCCCCTTAAAAAAAATGTAAGCACTGTAAAAATCTACTTTACCTGAGTCAGGCGTACTTTTACACTTTTCGCATTTTGAGCGCACTACTCCCAGGTGGCCACATCCGTAGCAATGTAACTGAGGGCTATTATTATTACAAGAAGTATCTTCCTTCTTATAACGACAGTTTATCAACCGAATGCACGAAATGTTTACAATAACTACATTTCGGTCGCGTACCGTCGGTCATGTTAGGCGCGGAGGCATGTCCTAACACTGCCGCAGCACGTAAACTTACTAAAAATCTCGCGCTACATGAATATTTCAAACTTACGGGTTCGGCGACGGTATACGAAAGGGTACTCAGGTTTCTGTCAGAACGGTCACGCACGGCGCACGAGTCAACAGAACTCGTAATAGTATTAAGAATGCGGGAACTCACCTCCGCCAGTGACTCCTCGACTAACCTTACTTTGGTGATGAGTTGCTCAAGCCCGTCGACGGAATCACGACACACGCGTTTTCTAATCCTACCATCTAACAACCCGTATACAATGTCCAACTTCACTACCTCCGGTACTATGTACGGTAATTTTGATAACAAAGCGCGCACTTTACAAATAAATACGTCGGCCCGTTCACTATTTTGTTCGGTAGCGAATATATCTCAGAGTATTTTATAACCGGGTCGCGCCACTCCAAACATCCCTCGAAGTCGTTGTAGGGCGTCGGTCTACGACGTGACCGACGACTTCACTCTTTGCTAGCAGACGGCGGCTTCGCCTACCAGCAGCATCGGCAGGCCGCGTAGGTAGCGCGTGCTCGTCGTTGATGACGATGACGTGACGTTGGTGCAGTCGCGGTAGACTTCGATGGCCTCGATAAATGCTTCGAGCTCATCCAGTGTCATCCACGTTCCTCGATGATGGTTTCGTCGTCGAAGTTTCCTGCGCGCGGCGCATGCGTGTGTGCGTCGGCGGCTTCGTTCGGCGCGCGGCGACGACGTAATCAACGGGTTTTGTTTCGCGCCAGAATACTCTCAATCAGAACTCTGTTTGCTTCCACTTGACTCCTAGTGATATTGGAGACAAGGGCATTTAACATATCCTTCGACATTGTAATATTCGGAAACGAAATCACGGTTCTGTTCGACCCGACGTTATGTCGGTATCGGATCCGATCCCTCATCTCTTCCAGTTCTTTTCTTCGGCGGCACGATAACAGGCAATTCCAACTGTTACTAGCTAGAAGAGCACGAGTGATGATTTTGAGGATGGTAGCTTCATTGAACGAGTTGGTAGGTATATACCTACAGACACAACCGGCGGCACGCGGAAAATGGACTCGCCCAAGTGTTTTCACTTTCGTATTTGCACTGGTTTTACAACAGTTTTCGTGTGATTGCACTATCGGAGAGAGTTCACAATATGTGTTTGCACGATAGAAACACTAGAACTTGTTGTAACTTTGAGTTTTTATGCACAGTTCTAAAAGAGAATAGTCTTTTTATAAAATACTTTAATTTATAAAATAGCGAACTAAAAACATGACAACAATTTTCAACGAATTTCTGCTTAATGTCAAAACCTTTTGACATTTACATCTATATTCGCGCCTTTTTCGGCTGTGTTGCCAGCCGTCAATATCAACCATAAGGAAATATTATGTGGATGCTAACAGCTCGGCCATCCTAACTAGGGTGTGTCCTCACACCAACTTAAATCAACATACACTCAATACAATTAGGAATTGAAGTAATAAGCCCAATAACATAACACAACTAATTGTAGACATCAACATAGAATAAAATCAGTAATAAACTTTAGCCTAACACAAAGGTACAAGAATCTTAAGTTTGCTAACTAATAATACAAATAGGGATTGAAGTATCAACTTCAGCAACCTGACATAAAATAACTGTAAAACATTGATTTTGAATAAAATCCACAGTACACTTGAGACTAATTGAAGGTTACAAAAAAACATAAATACTAAGAATATTTCAAATAAGATCTGAAGTATCAATGCATACAACATTCTATGAATAAATTCGAATTTTACACTTGAGTGTAACTTAGGTAACAAAATCTTAAAACTAAAAGTAATACAAATATAAGAACTGAAGTTCAAGTTGAGGAACATAGCAAAGTAACTGTAAAACATTAATTAAGAATAAAATCCACAATACACTGAGTGTAACTCAAGGTTACACAGATCTTAATTTTACTAGGCATAATTAGAATTACAATAGAATTAGAATAAACTAATTCTAAGTTCTTAAGTTATTAAAAAAAAATAAAACATTCTAAAGTTTCCTAATAAATAGGGGTATTAAGTTATTAACCATAATGTACTGTTACCTTAAAATATCATCATAACAAAATCACTCGGCCATCCTAGCCATGGTGTGTCCTCACACCATTTAAACAATATGCACTTGAGCCTTCTTTGAGGATTTCTTATATCTCTCTCATATAACTTAACAAAGAGTAAAACAATCTGAAGGAATCACATAACATCAAAATAGCAAAACAATAAAAACAGTCTTATGTTCTCTAGTCTTTAGAGAATAAACATTCACAATCTGCGTCATCTGTGCCAAAGGATATTAACGCTCGCATCCTATACTGCCATATTGAATCGCAATCTGCGCCATCTATGCTTTCAGCACTGGCGCTCACGAACAATGCCAAATATAGTCTGATGCAATCTGCGTCACCTGTACCGTATACACTGACACTCACAACCCCTACCGATGTGGTCTGTCACGATCTGCGTCATCTGTGTAGGGTAACAATGGCGCTCGGGACCCACATCTGTAGAGTCTGTCATGATCTCTGTCATCTGTGCAAATATCATGAAGCTCACAACCTACACAAGCATGGTCTGTTGCGATCTGCCTCACACACTAAGGCTCGCAACCCACACCAGTGTAGTCTGTCGTGATCTGCTTCGAAACAAGTAAGCACTGACGCTTGTATTTAATACAACATTTACAATAGACTCTTATTTTATAGTAACCTAAATTTTGTCATTATTTTAATCACCTCATTCACTCTGTATCACTTTTGTCGTTACCATCACTGTCGTTTTCGCTGTCCAATGATTTAAAGTTCAGCCACGGATGTATTTTATCAATAGATACTACGTTTTCGTACTCTTACCTTTCTTTCTTGTAATAGGAGTATCTTCAACCAAAAATCTATCATTGGGTAATATTTTAACAATTTTATAGGGTCCGTGAAATTTAGCCATTAGTTTCTTGGATTTACCAATTCTATCCTTATCAAATGTAGTTCTTTCTAATCTAACTAGATCACCAATGTTGTATTTTGTGGCCAACTTCCTATGTTTGTCGTATCGATGTTTGGCTAATTTTTGTTCCTTTTCGATTTTGTGCATAGATTCATTTCTTAGATTGGTTAATTCATCGCCACTAATGCGATCTGTAGTTGTATTAATTATATCTCCTAATATATTTTCAGACACAGTTTTAACGTTGTAACCAAACAATAATTCTGATGGACTTTTTCCGGTACTTTTGTTAACTGATGTGTTTAATCCTAGCTGAACGTCACTAACATATTCATCCCAGGTGTTATCATTTTTATCATGACATTTTGCGCTAAGAGCGTCCGAAATAGTGCGGTTAAATCTCTCAACCTGTCCGTTCGCTCGCGGAGTTGCTACAGCGTTTAATACGTGTTTAATACGACTATCTTCTACAAAAGTTTTAAATTTGGAACTAGTAAAACAAGTACCCCTGTCTGTGATTAATCGAGTTGGTGCTCCAAAATAGCTAAAAAAATCTTTAAGGACTCGAATGGTAGTAGTAGTCTTTGTATCTCTGACAGGTCTTATACTGATAAATTTTGTAAAAGCATCTATGATTACTAAAATGTACATATTGCCTCTCCGCGAACGAACGAATGGACCTAAGTGATCCACATGCAAGGTGTGAAAAGGTATGTCTGGTTTTGGAATTGGATGAAGTAGTCCTTCTTTAGGTCCTGCGGGTGCCTTATGATACGCACATTCTAAACAAGCTTTGACATACTTTTTCGTGAATCTCCGCATTTTGGGGAACCAAAATGAGCCTTTAAGCCTACTTAATGTCTTATCATAACTGAAATGGCCCACGTCGTCGTGGTTCATCTTAAGTAATTGCCACCTAACTGATCTTGGAACTACCCAACGTAACCCACCATCGACTACCCTATAAACATAATTACCTTTTAACTGGTAATTTTTATGAACGTCAACAATGAATGCTGTGTCTTTACCCGCTAAAATTTCCTTGATTCTTTTAATCTCATCGTCATCACTCTGGACAGTAGCGATCCAGTCTTTAGCTTCTACATTGAGTACATCAATAACGTGTGTAGAGTCATAAGTAGCGGGTTCATCTACAGGGGCACGACTGAGTGCATCAACATGTGACATTTTTGCACCTGCTCTGTATTCTATTTCACAGTCATACTCCTGGAACTGCACCCACCACCGACCTATTCTAGGGATGAGGTCCCTCTTTGTCATGGTAGTTCTTAGTGCATTGCAATCCGTTACTATTTTAAACTTTAGTCCTAATAGATAGACACGAAATCTGTTTAATGATGCTATGACAGCTAGCGTCTCTAAATCAAAAGAGTGAAGCTTTTGTTCATCCGCCGATGTTTTGCGGCTGTAATATGCTACAGGATTTAACGTCCCGTCTCTGTTACGTTGCATTAGAATACCCGCAATACCGTGTTTTGACGCATCTGTGTGTAATTCGGTTTCTAATTTGGAATCGTATAATGCGAGTAATGGTCTCTCGACTAATTTCTGTTTCAGGGTTTCAAACGCTGTCATTTGTTCTTCAGACCATCTCCATGTAACCCGTTTCCTTAACAGATCGGTTAACGGACGTGCAATTAGAGAAAAATCCTTTACGAAACGTCGGAAAAAACTGGCTAACCCTATAAAGCGCCTAACGTCATGAACATTGTTTGGAGTCGGGAAGTTTGATACTGCAGTTATTTTACGAGAACCGGGCCTTATACCAGATCCGCTTACCTCAAAGCCTAAGAAATCTATCTGTGTATAAAAGAAGAAACATTTTTCTAACTTAAGAGTAAGATTTGCATCACGGAAGATACTCAAAACTTCATCTAGTCTTTTTAAGCCTTCGTTGAAAGTGCGCGCTGGGATTAAAATATCGTCCATGTAAATAATGATGTAATCTATTTTAGCAAGTATTTTGTTCATGGTTCTTTGAAAGACTGACGGCGCATTTGCTAAACCGAAAGGCATTCTCTTAAATTGATATTGGCCATCCGGAGTAACAAATGCCGTTTTATCCTGGGAGCTTTCTCCGACCGCTAATTGATAATAACCTGATGCTAAATCTAAGCTAATGAACAATGAATGACCAGCTAATCGATCTAGTTGATCATCAATCAGTGGTAGGGGAAAATGCTCCTTTTTGGTCTTTCTGTTCAGTGCACGATAGTCAATACAAAGTCTTTTGTCCCCAGTCTTCTTCTTAACGAGGAGAACTGGGCTGGCATATGCTGAGTTGGATTCACATATAATGTCTGCAGCGAGCATTTCCTGTACCATAGATTTCACTAATTCTCTTTCGGGGTAAGATAATCTATATGGTCTGTAAACCACAGGTTTTGTATCAATCAATTCAATTTCCATTTTCTCAATGTTGGTATAACCTAAATCCATCATATTACAAGAAAAACATTGTTTGTACTTTTGTAATGTATTTTTAAGCTGAAATATTTCTTCACTGGATAATTTGTTGTCATAATTTATTGAATTACTAATATTTGCATCATTAAAATCCAACAAGTTTACATTTAGTATAGACTTCGTACATAACGCACGGGTTATTAAAGATCCCTGTCTTAACAATAATTT